CTTTCTCATCATTGATGCTTCTATCTCTCTGAAGTCAATAAAAACATATTAAAAAAAAAAAAAAAAGAATTAGAGGAAGAAGGAAGGTCTAGCTGAATCTGTCTTACCAAAAATCTTAGGCCCTGAAGATAGGACCTTGCCTATTGTGAAGGAAAAAAAAAAAAATTAACCTGAAAGTGAGTTGAATTTCTTGATATTTTTTCCCTTATTATTGAGAAATTATAGTATGTCAAATCCTTAACTCATGTTTTTAAATATTAGTCTGATACTATTCCTCCGAGATTATTTCAGACAGATGAAATAAACTGTCCATGGTCTAACAAGTAATATTCAGGTACTTTGTTTCTTAGTTAACTTGAGGAATAAATTGGGGATTGGCTAGAGAAGGAAAAAAAAGCCACACTATTTGAATAATGCACCCAATTACCAAGTCTTGAGTCAGAGTCATATTTATTGTGGGAATGGTCAACCAAGAAGGAAGAATTTCTTTGTCTAGGCAATGTCTATCAATGGATATCAATAGTAGTGACGAAGAAAATACTTCTTTAATGGTAATTGCAGTATAGCTAGAAAAAGTCTGTGTGTGTTGTCAAATAATAAAAGCAGATTGACTTGTTATTCTCATACTTTTGCTACTCTGTCACCAATTATTGTGTGCTATGAAGAGTGGCTATATTGAACCAGATCTTATAAATATTGGAAAAGTGTACATCATCCCAAGTCTATGATCAGGAGATGTCCAATTTTCCCCAGTCCTCACATTCCCTGCTTTAATCTACCAATCATCTTAACATATCCATTTGAATATATTTATTTTTACTCATAAAATATACTTTCATTGGGTTTGAAGAGAATTAATTTAAAATATAGCAATCAAGAATAGTGCCAGTTGACAAATAGTTTCCACCCTTTCTGTAAATAGCTTTAACATATATTCCTACTTGTTAATTTGATAGACAAAGAGATAGTTAATTATAACTTAAAGTACTTGAAGACACAAGAGCACAGATACTGTATTCACATTAATTCATATACGTAATTTCTATCTTATTAGACAGTTCCTATAAAATATCAAATTTCTAATTAGGATTGTGGTGTAAAAAAAAAATGGGTAATTTGGTAGCTGAGTTCTTTTTACTAAAGACATAATCAGCTGAAACCGGTTTGGCTCAGTGGATAGAGTGTTGGTCTGCAGACTGAAAGTCCCGGGTTCGATTCCGGTCAAAGGCACGTAGCTTGGTTGCAGGTACATCCCCGGCAGGGGGTGTGCAGGAGACACCTGGTCAGTGTTTCTCTCTCATCAACGTTTCTAGCGCTCTATCCCTCTTCCTTCCTCTCTGTGGAAAATCAATAAAATATATTTTTAAAAATAAATAAAAAAATAAAGATACAATCAACTACCAGAGGTAAGACACTTATTCCCTCATCCCCTGATACCTTATACCTTGTATGTAGCCAGTGTAATATCATCATTGGTGCAGAGAGCAGAGGTTCATAGCAGGATCTGAGTCCTGCTCATAAGGCTTGCCGTTCTCACTGTTCTTTATACTTCATTACGACGACTCTATCCCCACCCCAAACCAAACGAAAGAAACTGTTGCTCTTGACTTGGGGAATATTTGTTGAAGGTGGTAATTTAATAAAGTATGTAATTAAATACAACATGATTTTATATTGTAAACGTGTTAAAAACTCAGTTGAATATATTTAATATACATTTTGTATATTCTTGTAAAATATATGGGGTTATATATGCATGTTTTTAGTTTCCCTAGATGATAATTGTGCTATAAAGTTTGTTCTGCTTCTGTTTTCATCAACACATTGTAACCTATTTCCATGTTGAATCAAGATCACAACAGTATTCTACATTTTCAAGGTAGATTTCAGGTTTTACATTTTACTTTTATGTCTTTAATCCATCTGGAATTTTGTGTGTGTATGTGTGTGTATTGTAAATTAGGGATACAATTTCTTCTTTATTTAAGATAGCCAGTTTCCCAAATACTGTTTACTAAATAATACATCCTTTCTGTACTGATTTGTGATATCAGTTTCATCATTTATCAACTTAGCACAGATGAATCTGTGGTTTGTTTTTTTAAGTTGGGAGGGGGGGGGAGGGAGTGAGGGAGGAAGGGGGCAGCAGAAGACACATCAATATTAATATGTTGTCCCACTTGTTTATGCATTCATTGATTGACTCTTGTATGTGCTCTGATTGGGGATATCCATAACTTTGCCATATTGGGATGATGTTCTAACCAACTCAGGCAGCTACCCGGCCAGGGCTAAATGAATCTGTTTTGGAGATACCTATTCTGTTGCATTGGTTTTATTGTCTGTTCCCTTTTTTCTGGAACAGTTTTTCTCTGGAATATGTCACAGTGTCTGATAGGGCAAGTCTTCTTTTTGTTCTTCCTTTTAAAATTTGACTTAGCTATTCTATGGGTTTTTAGTTTATCTAATTTTAAAAGTGACCTCTGTAACATGCCTTATTTTTAATTTAACAATGAGTAACTTCAGTATATGGCAGATTATTTCCTGAAATGACATACTCACTTCACTTATATTGACTTTCTTATTTAACACTTTTGGTTTTCTTCATTTGTTCCTGTGGCTTGTAACTTCATTTGTTACCAGCTGGTGTCATTTCTTTAAAATAATTTAGTTCCCACTATCTCCTTTGTGCTGTACCTGTCAATTATGTTACATTTCTATATGCTATAGGCCTAATAATAAAAGTATTATATTTGTACTAGAGGGGGTCCCTCAGCCCGGCCTGCACCCTCTTGCAGTCCGGGATTCCCCCCCCCCAACACACACACACTCCTTACTTCCCACCTGCTCCTGCCACTGGCTTCTGGCTGAGCTGCGTTCCCCCTGTGGGAATGCACTGACCACCAGGAGGCAGCTCCTGCATTGAGCGTCAGTGCACATTATAGCAACCAGTCGTCCTGTTGTTTGGTTGATTTCCATGTTAGGGTTTTATTATATAGGATTGTTTTATATACTTATATTAGAGGAAATATCACTTATACTGTATATCTAATTATCTTTACCAGTGTTCTTTGTTTTCTTTTATTTGTGTATTTGAATTTTTATTTTGGTTTACTTGCTTTCAATTCTAAGAATTTTCTTTAGTATTTCTAGTAAGGTGCTAGCAACAAATTCAGTTTTTGCTTAATGGGAGTATTTTTATTCACTTATTTTTGAAAGACAGTTTTGCTGAATATAATATTCTTGGTTGACAGTTTTTCTTTCAGCACTTTGAAAATGTGATCTTACTGCCTACTGGCCTTCATTGTTTCTGATGAGAACTTACATTGTGGGGTTTCCTTGTGGATGCTAAGTAATTTTCTCACTACTCTCAAGACTATCTTTCTCTTTCAGCATTTTTACTATGGTATGCCTGGGTATAGAGATCTTTTCATTTGTTCTATTTGGAGTTTGTTGAGCTTCTTGGATGTGTAGATTAATATTTTTCAACAAATTTGAGAAATTTGGATAGATAACATATCTTGAAAATGTGTATCTTTCAAACTGAAACTTTATATCCTTTAAATAAATACTAAATCCCCATGCCTCCTTTGTTTCAGTCCCTGGCAGCCACCATTCTACACTCTCTATGAATTTTACTACTTTTTATATCATATAAGTAGAATTATATAATATTTGTCCTTTTCATATAGCTTATTTTGCTTTGCATAATGTTTTCAAGGTTTATCCACTTTTTACCTTATGACAAAATTTTGCGGAATTTGAATATTCGCAGGTATTAAAATGAGATATTCCTAATTCTTAAGTGTTGAAACTTTTTTCTTCCTCACTTCTTTTATTTTTACTTAACTTTCATGCTGTCTATTTTTTAATTACTATTTACCTAGTTTGAAATGTTGTTTGTTTAATTAGTAAATAATAATCTAAATTAGGAAGTGAAACAAAATAAACTCTGCTTTACCTTTAAGAAGGTTGATGGTGGGCCCTGGCCAGTGTGTTCAGTGGTTATAGCATCAGCCTGTACACTGATAGTCATGGGTTTGATTCCCGGTCAGGGGCAAGCAAGTACCTGGGTTTCAGCTTTGATCTCTGGCCCTGTTTGGGCTCATGCAGGAGGCCACCAGTTGATGACTCTCTCTCACATTGATATTTCTCTCTCTCCCCCTCTTCCGGGCTGTGTCCATCTTCCCCCCTCTCTCTCTTTAAAAATCAGTGGAAAAAAAATGTCTTGGGTGAGGATTAACCAAAAAATAAAAAAGATTGGTGGTGGTATGCTATGCTGCTTATGGAATAGCTAATACGTAAGTTATATTGTTTTAGAATATTTGGGGGTCTTTTGTTTTTTAAAAAAGTAAATTATAACATACTTCTCATTTGATTGTAATTTTGTGGAATTAATGGTTCCCAATTTTTATTTTAAATTTCCTTTTTGTATATTTGATGGATTCTGATACATTCCTGTCAATAAACAAGGATCATTTTTAAAGTGATTCTCTAGAGGGAGGTCATGACTACCCTTTCAATGAGTTAAATATACCCAGCTACCCCAAAGTCATCACTACTTAGTATGTTTTAACTTCATGTGGCATAAACATTTTTGTTTATCAAGTACTTGTGAAATTGTGCTATGTAACCTTTTTTTTTTTTTTTTTTAAATCTAAACGCAATTATGATATTCAAAGCATCTTTTGCTCATGACCAAGGCCTGTTCACTTCAATTTGGAGCTGTTATTTTGATGATAGCTGCCTTTATTTATCTTGGAGTGATTGCAGAATCGTGACCTCACCTTGGATAGGCACTGAATGAATATTGAAACTGCTATCATTTTGTGTTAAACCTCTGTTTCTTGGAAGGTATTTGTGACCTTGAGGTACTTGTTATATTTTACCTCCATTTAAGGTTTTTAATAAATGAAAAAACTTAATATATGATATCAGTGGAATAAAATAAGCTCTATCAGTAAGTTAATCTTATGGCTATCTTTTATTTTCTGAAACAGAGACTCTACAGGGGCAGGTAATTCACTGGTCCACAAGCGGTCTCCTTTACGTCGAAACCAAAAGACCCCAACATCCTTGACCAAGCTGTCTTTACAGGATGGATATAAAGTCAAAAAGCCAGCATGTAAATTTGAAGAGGGTCAGGATGTCCTAGCTAGATGGTCAGATGGCTTGTTTTATCTTGGAACTATCAAAAAGGCAAGTTACCTTAATATATCTTTTGAAGTTTTTGCAGTAAATGCTTAATAATTTTGAATTTAAATTTAACTCTGTCTTTTATTTTAAAAACCAGTATTCCTCTGTATTTCAGATAAACATATTGAAACAGAGCTGCTTCATCATCTTTGAAGACAGTTCTAAATCCTGGGTTCTCTGGAAGGACATCCAAACAGGCAGGTGCTACTGTTTCTCTTGAACATGATTTATACTAAAATTTGATATTTTCCAACTTGTCATTTTTGAGTGTTATCTGTTCAGCAGTATATTAAAATATCTTAGAACCACTTTTAAGGAGAGGCTAAAAAAAAACAACTTTACCTTTGTAGTCTTCAGGAGTTATAATTTGTATCAGTGGTTTTCAATCTTTTTCACTTCCTGGCATACATAAGCTAATTACTAAAATTCTGTAGCACATCGAAAAAATATATTTTGCCAATCTGACACCCCCCAAAAAAGAAGGTATAATTTTGATTCATTCATACCAGACAGAGATTGTTGTATTGGCTGTTGTCATTTTTTTAATTTGACAATCTAAGGGAAAAGAGGTCAGTGCCCCTGATTAAACAGTTAAGTATTGCACATTTCAAAAATTCTTACAGTACTCTGGTTGAAAATTGCTGATCTATATTAAAAACTAAAAAAAAATTAAAAAAAAATAGAAGTCGACTAACTACTAGAAGACAGGTGTGCCACTATTGTTAGGACCCTCCTAAAAACTTAGAAGAAACAGTTCGGCCTACATTTTAACTGTTACTTGCTTATATTAGTATAAAGTACTGTAAAGAGCGTATAGGTTTTAGCTTATAGGTATATATACTTTTTGTCAGATGTTTGGGGGAATTAGAACATATTAAAAGATTGAGTACTAGAAATATTCATTAATAAAAATGGTTTAAAATGATCAATTATCTTTTAATATGTTTTTATGGGAAAGTGAGTACAGGTACACTTGGTTTGGTTATAGGTACATTTCTTATACTTTTTATTTTTATAAACCATGATTATGTGTGTCATTTGAATCTGCTAAAAAAGGTATTTTTCTCGGTATCTCTTTCATGGAATGTGCTTTATTTTTTAAAAGGTATGATTATTAAAATTTGAGCACTTTATCTATACACTAATGCAACACGTTTTAAAAAAAATGTAAGTTTTGCCCTAGCTGTGTGGATAGAGCATTGGCCTGGAGACAGAGGGACTTTGGTTCAGTTCCGTTCAAGGATCAGTTCCTAGGTTACAGGATCCTTCCCAGTCTGAACCGTGGTTGGGGCGCATGCAGGAGTCAGCCAATCGATGTTTCTCTCACATTGATATTTCTTTCTGTTCTTCGCTCTCTCTTCCACTCTCTTAAAAATCAATGGGAAAATATCCGTGGGTGAAGATTTAAAAAAAAAAAAAGTAAGTTTTTATTGTTGTTGTTCTTTATTTTAGAGAGAGAGGAAGGGAGAGAGAAACATCCACTGGCTATCCACTAGTTTCCTTCCACACATGCCCTGATGGGGAATCAAACCCACCATCTTCTGGTGTATGGGACAGATGTTCCGACTGATGGAATCATACCAGCCAGTGCTAAAGCAGTACTTTTGGTTTTGCTTTTACTAGGTAAATAGGCCTGCACAAAGACCTGTGTTTTCTATTTCCTGTTGTAGAAAGGAGATGTAAATTATCTTCCCCTGAAGAATAGAAGGATACCTTTCTAAAGTATTTAGCGATTGGGTTTTGCATTGGATTCCCAAGTGTGACTTTATGATAGGTTACTGTGTGTTGTATGTTTTGAATCTGGAATTGATGGGTCAGTGAGAAAAGTGGTAGGAGGATAGGTGTCTTTAACAGTAGTGATATTGAACAGGTCTTATTACCTGCATTAGGAATTTCTCTTTATTTAGTTTGTAAATGTGACTCTACGGTGGATCCGAAACACATACAGGGCTTCTGTTCCCTTCTATTAGCTATGTATTCCTTTCAACTTTTCTACCTTTTCAAGATTCCTGTGAGTTAAAATATAGGTTTCTCAGTCTTTGTCTCTTCCCTCCCTCATTCCTTCTGTCTGAAGACCAGTGGTACACAGGAGTAGAAAGTTGTCATGAAAGGGAGGGTCAGTCCTATATGTACACACACACACACACACACACACACACACACACACACACACACACACACACACACACACACACACACACCCCGGTGCATCAGTTAGTGTCTGTGGTAGTTCGTTTCTCACTGGCTGCTTTTACTATCCTTAGAATTATCAAGGATTATTCTTTGGCCATTAACTTTGTAATATCCAGAAAGTAGCACACATGTAACTTGGAGTTGCTATAAAATGAGGAAGTGAACCTGAAAATTGCATTCTGACAGATTTCATTGTGGAGTTTTCTTTCTATAAGAAACTTGCTAATAACAGAATATATGATCATGTTAGTAATCAAAGAAATGTGTATCACAACAGGGAGATAACATGTTAAAACCATTAAGTGAATTTAAAAGGATTTTTAACCTTAACACCTAAAATACTATTATGGTTTCTGTGGAAATAATACACTGCTGATGACAGTATAAATTTCTATTTTGGATATTTAAACAGCAGCATTAAATGAATAAAAATGTTTTATACTCTTTAATTTATACAGCAGACTCATTTTAGCAGTTTATTCTAAATAAATAATTCAAATATAAAAAATTAGATGAGAAATATTTACTGTAGCTTTATTTTAATAATAAAATTTGAGATATCGAAGATGAAATGGCTTTTCTGAGGAACTGCCTTCCCCTACACCAGTCCACCTGGTTGCAGTAGAGTCAGATTAAGCACCTACTAGAACCAATCTAGAACTATTGGTTCTTTTCCAGGGAATTAACAGATTTGGACAGAGAGGTCCCAGGCTCAGTCTGGTTGCTCTCCTGATTCTAGCCAAAAATCAGATGTGTGGAGGCCATGTTTAGCCAGTTGTTTAGGGAAGAAAACAACCCCTGGGAAAGCAGGAGGCTAGAGCACAAGAGACTGAAACAGACAAGGAAAAATGCAAAAAAATGAACAAACAAGAAATTTGGTAACATGTCTGTGTAAGAATAGAAGGTATAATCAAGTAAATTTGGTTCTTTCCCTGGATGGAATATTATGTAGTTACTAGAGGCTGGTGCATGGAATTCGTGCACCGGGGCCGGGTCCCCTAGCTTGGTCTGTACCCTCTCACAATCTGGAACCGCTGGCTCCTAACCACTCACCTGCCTGTCTGCTGGCCTGATCATCCCTAGATGCCCACCATCGTGGCTTTGTCCAGAAGGATGTCCGGTCTATCCAGTCTAATTAGCACATTATCCTTTTACTAGAGGCCCGATGCACGAAGATTTGTGCAAGAATGGGCCTTCCTTTCCCTGGCTGCAGGCATCGCCTTCGCTCTGTCCCCGGAGCTGCCTTTCTGCCTTCTCATGCTGCCCAGAGGCCCAGAACTGCTCGGGTAGTGCTGAACCCCTGCGTCATTGCCATGGCGATGACGCAAGTATCCCGTCCCCAGCTGCTTGGCACTTGCATATGCAAATTAACCTGTCAGCTTTGGTGGGTTGATTTGCATACTTCTGATTGGCTGGTGGGTGTTGCGAAGGTATAGTCAATTTCTGTTTCTCTTTTATTAGTCTAGATTATTATAGATTTGAAATTACAGTTTTGAAAACTGCAGTGTAAAAGCTTTTAAAAATATTTTTATTGATTTCAAAGAGGAAGGGAAAGGGATAGATAAATAGAAAAGTCAGTGATAAGAGAGAGTCTTTGACTCGCTGCCTCCTGCACACCCCCAACTGGGGATCGAGCCTGCAACCCAGGCATGCGCCCTTGATCAGAATCATACATGGAACCCTTTAGTCTGCAGGCTAACTATCCATTGAGTCAAACCAGCTAGGGCTAAAAAAATGCTTTTAATAGAAGGAATATTAAATAGTATTAATGAAAAGAAGCATCTCACAGTGTAGAGTATGGACTCTAGCATATCTAGGTTTGAATCCTACTCTTGATACTTTCTTTTTTTTTAAATTTTTTAAAATATATTTTTATTGATTTTTTACAGAGAGGAAAGGAGAGAGAGAGCTAGAAACGTCGATGAGAGAGAAACATCGACCAGCTGCCTCTTGCACACCCCCTACCAGGGATGTGCCCGCAACCAAGGTACATGCCCTTGACCAGAATCGAACCCGGGACCTTTCAGTCCGCAGACCGACGCTCTACCATTGAGCCAAACCGGTTTTGGCTACTCTTGATACTTTCTGATTGAAGATCCTTGGATTAGTTACTTTATCTTTCTGAACCTCATGTCTTCTCTTTAGAGAGGATATTTATCTAAAAGTTGTATAATTAAATAAAGTAGTATATGTCAGGAGCCTAACAATGCTTGCACCAGAGAATAAAATTGAAATTTTTTTATTGTTGCTATTTGAATAAAGCATGTGTATTAATATTTTAACTATGTATATTTAAATAAATGAATAGAGAATATTGGAAATGTATTAGTCATAAAATCATATTTTAAAATTTATAGAATAAAATTGCTTTTAGAATAAAAGTGTTTTAGAATAAAAATATTTAAGAAAGACATAATTTATTCACGTACGATATATAATTAATAACTGTGGGACCCCCAGATTTTATTGCAGTGGGATTTTGTTAGGGTATATTATTGATACAACCATATTTCTATATTTCAGAAGCTGGAAATTAAATAATTGGTGTTCAGCCTGTTTCATAAATTAGTAAATAAAAAGAAATGTTCCAAACCCAGAGAAAAAGGAGTCATTTTTCAAAAAGGATACATCTTGCGCTTTTTCTTTAGTCTCTTATTGCTAGGCAGTGTAGGGTGAGTGAATACATGCATATACATGGTTAGATGTGTGTTTTGCAGAGTAGTTCTAGTGTTGATAAAATAAACCCCCAGAAGAATGGGAATGTTAAAAAATGAATGATAAGGGTTCCTGCCTGAGAGCAGTTTAAATTATGCCCTCTGCCAAAAAGCAGGTTAAGTTATGAATGTAGACAATTAGAAATCAGTTAGAGGTCAGAACACAGAAAGGGAGCAGAGAGATAGCATTTTGTATATAATCCTTTGGCTTGAAAAGAAATCATTATGATCTAGTGAACAAACATTGCCAATATAGGCTACTCACTGAGTCAAAAAGTAGTTTTGTTAAATGGAACACTTTATTATTATAAACAAATAATAAAATTATTTAAATATTTCAGGAGCCACTGGAAGTGGGGAGATGGTCTGTACAATATGCCAGGAAGAGTATTCAGAAGCTCCCAATGAAATGGTTATATGTGATAAGTGTGGCCAAGGTAAACATTGATTTCTTTTAATCTTGTGGAAAAGTTTGTGAGGATTAATGATTAAAAATTACTTTACACTGTTAATTTGAAGCTGTTACAATAAATTTACTCATCAGTTATAATTATATTAATATAGGAAAAGAAAATACTAATTTATTTAAATTGTATTGCAGTATTTATTAATTTGCCTTATGCTTTTTTTGATATTAAGGATATCATCAGTTGTGTCACACACCTCACATTGATTCCAGTGTGATTGATTCAGATGAAAAATGGCTCTGTCGACAGTGTGTTTTTGCAACAACAACAAAGGTAGGTATATTTTAAGTATTTTTGGGCTAAAGCCCTAAATGGAATTTATAAGGCATTATCAACAAATGATTGTGTACATTGAAAGTTTATTTGAATGAAATGTGCGATCAATGCTCGGTAGAAAGAGATGCTGATATTTGTTTGACTAATGATGCTTAAGTGACTTGCAGCTATTTTTGTACTTATTTTCTGATTGTGGTCTTGGAATTGGGGCAATAATTTGAAAGAAAAGCTAGTAGGAAAGATTATTATTAGTCAAGTAGTTTTGTGATGTAAGAAATTTAGAATGGAAATGTCTTCAAAAATTTCAGAAGCATTTTTAAGTTATAGAATTGTATTTAAAATTTTATCCTTCACTCTTTTAAATAATATTTTCCCTCTAATATAGAGGGGTGGTGCGCTTAAGAAAGGACCAAATGCCAAAGCATTGCAAGTCATGAAGCAGACATTACCCTACAGTGTGGCAGACCTTGAATGGGATGCAGGTCATAAAACCAATGTCCAGCAATGTTACTGCTATTGTGGAGGCCCTGGAGAGTAAGTATAGTTACTTAATACCCTTTAAGTAATTTTTATTTGTTTATATTATCAACTTTATTTTTGTTACTGACTTTGGTGTTGGAGTAATAGTGAATTGTAAATTCATGGAATTGTCAGTAAATTGAAGGAGAGGAATTAGAGGTTGTAGTTTTATTCAAATTTTTAATTAAATATTTTTTAAAGAAATGAATCAGTTTTAACTAAGAATGTCTAGGAATTTACCTTTAACTTCTGATCAGTGGTCCTAGGTTTGCTCTTTGGAACTAAACAAATACTCTTACCTCTCTGAGGAGGTAACTCTTAAAATATTTCAATCCAGCAATTACATTTCTTACTCCCATGCCTTACATACCAGTAATGTTCTCTTTTCCATGCTAAAATCTCCATTGCCATAAAAAATTTCTTTATGACATGACTTCCAAACTGCATTTCTTATTCATAGTTTTTAAGAGTTATTCTTAAAATACGGTGTTATGATTAGAAAATTCACTGTTTCCCAGAATAGTCTTGACAGAAAATAATGAGATTATTAGAGTTCTGGACATTATACTTCTGTAGTTGCAAAGAGAGATTGTAATACCTTTCCTTAGTCATCCCATCTTATTCTTTTGATTTAATTATTTAAATTATAATTTTTTAAAAATATATTTTTTTGTATTGATTTTTTTACAGAGGAAGAGAGAGGGATAGAGAGTTAGAAACATCAATGAGAGAGAATCATCGATCAGCTGCCCCTTGCACCTCCCCCACCAGGAGTGTGCCTGCAACCAAGGTACATACCCTTGACCGAATCGAACCTGGGATCTCTCAGTCCGCAGGCCGACACTCTATCCACTGAGCCAAACCGATTTCGGCTAAATTATAATTATTTTTGTGTGTGTCTTAATGAGACTGCTTCTCTTAAGATGATGCTTTCTAGAAGAAGACTGGGACATATAGGTAATCGATGATGAAAACATGAATAAATGAACATAAATTAATGAAATTTTAGTTCTATATTCTTCATCTCTGATCTTAAGGATTTTTTGTGATTTAACATTTTTATAATACTTGTTAGTTTTTGGTCATCTGCACATTTAAGAAACTGAAGTTTTTAAAAATCACTTCTAAAATATATATAACGAACTCATTTATAACCAGCATTTAATTTAAAACATTATTCAAAGTAGGTGGAAACTATTATAGACTTTATTTTATGAGATAGATTATTCATTCTTCTGTACCATGACTACATGAACTGATATTGCTAACATATCTAACTTCAGCAACTACCAAAGTAATTACTTGAACACAAACACTGGAAAATAGTTTATTTATTAGTCTTTGTTGAATGAATGATCTTACCTAATATCAGTCTTCTTACCTTTGTGTATATGTAGCTGAAAATTTATGTGGGGCTGACTTGTTGAGCCACAGAATTATTGGGAGAAACACATTATTTGGGTGGCAAATAAGGATATCAATATATCAAAACCATGCAGTAACTGAAAAGAAAGGATATCCTCAGTTGAAGGTTGAGTTTTAGCATCTTCAGCTTTTTAAAATAGAACAAAATCTTTCACAAAGCCTTTACCTCCTGGTAGAGTCTTAGATTAGATGTATAATTATATTTATCAATTACATTAAATTGCTATATAGTCATGTGCCATTTAGTGATGGGAATACTTTCTGAATGCATCATTAAGGTATTTCATCATTGTGTGACCATCACAAAGTATACAAATCTATATGGTATACATCTAGGTTATATGGTATGTCACTGTAATATATGTGGTCTGTTGTTGCCTGAAATTATTCCATGCATAACTATACTTGTTTCTATTTTAATAGACAATAATAATAGAAACAGAGTGAGTGATATGGGGCAAAAACCCATACCATCAGTGACCTCTGGAACTTATTTCTCTTAGAGTATAGAGTCAATGTGGAAAAAAAAATCCTAGGATGGTGTTTTGACATAGATCCTTGTTGACTAAAATAGATTATCTTTCTAGAGTTTCTAAATGTTCATGAATAAGAGATGAAATGGTTAATATAAATGACATATTTAAGAAAAAATTTAGCACTACGTGTAGTAGAAATGTGATCCTATAAGCACAGTGACATTAAAAAACAAAATAAAACTATATCATCAAAAGGTAGTAATTTTAATCATTTTTTTCTCTTAGCTGGTATTTAAAGATGCTACAGTGCTGCAAATGTAAGCAGTGGTTTCACGAGGCTTGTGTGCAATGCCTTCAAAAGCCAATGTTATTTGGAGACAGGTGAGAAGGACATTTGGACTTTACTGTTTAAATTTTAAAAAATTTTTATTTAGCTTTTTTATTGTGGTTATATTTGCAGTTTTTGATTTCTAGAATTAGTTTTAATAGTGATTTGTAAAGGAGTCACCTTAGAGGGAAAATATTGAGTAATAAATTAAATTATATGTAAAAGTACACATAATTTTTATGCTTTTGGGTATTATTCTAAAAGTCTTTTAAGTATTTGATTAGTGATTACATTTGCTTGTGTTGTCCCACTGTGTTCTAAACTATTTTCATTGGGATCTTCCTTTAAAGAATCTCAAAAAGATCCTGTGACAGAACATTGGTAAAGGACAAAGAACCTTGATACACACAATTTATATCTTAGACCTAAAGGATTTCTAAAAGTAGACTTAATGTGCTTTCTGGATTAGGAGAATGTAGAATATAAAAGAGAATTCTAGGAAGACAAATTAAAGATAGAACATTAAACTTGGCATAAAAAATTCTGTTTTTAAATCTTGGCTTAGCTATTAATTTATGCCATCTTTCTGAGCTTAGGAAGGTCAGTATGTCTCTCTGGACTTAGTTTTTTTTTTAAGTTTCTAGTTCTTCGCTGGAAACAATTCTTTTTTTTTTTTTTTTTTAATATATTTTTATTGATTTTGTACAGAGAGGAAGGGAGAGAGATAGAGAGTTAGAAACATCGATGAGAGAGAGTCACCGATCAGCTGCCTCTTGCACACCCCCCACTGGGGATATGCCCGCAACCAAGGTACATGCCCTTGACCGGCATCGAACCCGGGACCTTTCAGTCCCCAAGCCGATGCTCTATCCATTGAGCCAAACCAGTTTCGGCTGGATTTATTAGTTTTAAGCATTAAACATAACAATGTAGATCCAGTAGCCACCACAATTCCTGTTACACACAAGCCTTTAGTAAACTATGCCTATATATGCATTTGTGTGTGAACTCTGAAGATTTCATTATTTGTCATTTTTGGAAAAGAAATTCTTTAAATCACATGTCATAATTCAAATTATATTTTGTTCTATGAATCCTTATGTCAATTGTAGGATATCCACTTGCTGAATATTAGCTTTAATTGTTAAAATAGTTTATGTATACCTTTGATTACACAATAATTACAACTTTTTCTTTTCCTTAGGTTTTATACATTTATTTGCTCTGTCTGCAGTTCTGGACCTGAATACCTCAAACGTCTACCATTACAGTGGTAAGTGGGGACATTTCTGTTAAGGAACAAAAGAGAGCCATATTCTTAAACCTATAGGATAAAATTATAGATATATTTACTTGGCTTAAGTAAAAACTTGGTCATCTTTACGAAGAGCTTTATTTTCTATTGTTTATCCTTAAACCTGATGTCATCTTCACTAAGGATTACCTAATTATATTGATGATATAATATGGCCATTCATTTTCTAATGACTTTAAATACTCTTTAGATCTTCAAAACTCTTATTTATCTTTCTAATTCTTTTGGGCCTTCAGAATAGCATACCATAGAAGAGAAAAAGTTCTTATTACGAATATGCCAATTTCTGCTTTTGCTTAGCAATTCTTGGGCATGGGAAGTACGATGAATTTGGGAAATTTAATGATAAAATATTTATATGGTAGTTTCCCATTACCCATGGAAATATGCCCAAGACTCCAAGTGAATATCTGAAACTGTGGATAGAATCAAACCTTGTTATATATTATGATTTTTCCTATATATATACATAAATCCACTTTAAGCTTCTCTTTGGCAAATTGCCATCATCATCATTCTTGAGTTTTGTGTTCATTATTTAGTAAAACATGGGTTTCTTGAACACAAGCACAGAGATACTGTCACAATCCATCTGATAACCATGATGGCTACTAAGTGACTAATGGGCAGGGTTGTGTATACAGCCTGGATCCACTGACTCACACCCCAAGGGGGACAGAGTGGGATGGCACAAGATGTTGTTATGCTGCTCAGAACGCGCACAATTTGAAACTTAAAAATTGTTTATTTCTAGAATTTTCCATTTCATATTTTGAACTGCAGTTGACTGCAGGTAACTTTAAAACTTTGAAAGCAAAACTGACACTTAGGAGTACTATGTAGTAAGTACTTAGAAATTTTTATTAAATATTTTGCATATTTTAGGAAAAGGTAACACTTGTGAATCAGGCAAAGTCTAATAAAGTATGATCTATGCAGTAGTAAAAACAAAATATTTTATTGTAAGGCTTTTTTAAAAAATTAGATTCTTTTTTAATGCATTTTAAGAAAGTATTTAAATATTTTTTTAGTTTATAGTTAGTTCAGAATAAGTAAATGTTTAGTTAATGCTTTCCAATTATTTTCAATGTAATGCTTTATTACATTATGAATATGAGTTAGGATATTGACCTTCCATTCACCTAAATACTTTACATTGGATTTTTTAAATTACTGGTGTTATAAAAAATTGTGTGATTTCTTAACAATAACCAAAAACATTATTTTTTGTATATTTTGATTACTTTGGATTCCAGGGTAGATATAGCACACTTATGCCTTTACAACCTAAGTGTTATTCACAAGAAGAAATACTTTGATTCTGAACTTGAGCTTATGACATACATTAATGAAAACTGGGATAGATTGCACCCTGGAGAGGTAAGTGGTTTTAGAGCAGACTTCATTAGATACTTGATGTCTTTTTCTGTTTTTGTTAAAAGCAACTAAGACACATGTATAAGCCACTCATCTAAAATAGCATTTTATTTTTAATTCAGGGAGAAATAACTCCAGTAAGGATATCATAACCAGCCCTCTCATCCTCCTGTTTGTTGCCTGATGAGTAGGGGGAAAAATCTAGGAGGAGGAAGTAATAATCTTTCATATTCTGAAGAGAGAATCATTGTAGTTAAAGATATAAGGGAAGGAGAAGTCCTTATTGGTTACCTTACTTATGGTTCCTCCTCCTATGTTTTCCATCAACTTTAGAGATGTAACTAACAATCTTCTTTACAAATCTCTTGTTTGTATTTGCTTATAAATCTTTGACTTCTGGAATGGTAGGACCCATTAATAGGGTTAAAAGAATGAGTTAGAGTGAAGCTACCTGAGTTGGAGATTTTCACCTCATTCAGACATCTTATTCTGCTTTTCATTTGCAAACTATAACCACTCATGCTGATTTACAAAGGATTTTTTTTAAGCAATTTAAAAGTTAATGCACATACAGTGAAGAAGATTTTGAAACCAAAGAATAGCAGAAAGAAGAAACTAGAATAACTTTAGTAGTTATCTGGTATTTAGCATTTAGTTATATTATTGAAATGGATATTAAGTATTCCTAGATTAAATAAAAATTGTTTTATAATATGTAGAATGAGATGAATGAATTTTAGTCACACATTACATTTTGAGGTAAAAATTAAGTAAACTACTTTGAAATTTAGGAAAAATTTCTATATTTGAAGCCTTTGGACATGTGGCAGTTTATAAGGTTCATTTCAAATAGGACCGTAAGAGTTTTGTTGTTATATTGGGGGTTTTATGGGCATCCCAGAGAGCCTAGTGCATATTTATTTAAAAGTTAGTTGGTGGGCTCTTCCGGGGACAGTGACTTCAGGCATTCACCACGGTCCGGCGTTTGACATACTGTTGGAGACTGTCCTACAATACAGCCTCTAACAAAACTAGGCTGTCCCGAACCCCCGGTAATAGAACTGTTTACCTTTATACCAAGAAGTTTGGGAAAGCACCAAAATATGCATGTGGCGTGTGCCCAGGCCAGCTTAGAGGAGTTCGGGCTGAGACCTAAAGTTCTAATGAGGTCCAAACGAAAAAACATGTCAGCAGGGCCTACAGTGGATCCATGCGTGCTGTGTCTGTGACAGGATCACATATGCTTTCTTTATTGAGGAGCAGAAAATCATTGTGAAAGTGTTGAAGGCACAAGCACAGCGTCAAAAAACGAAATAAATTTTTAAAATGAAGCTTTTTTGAATAATTAAAGATAATTAAAGGCAAAAAAAAATTAAAAGTTAGTTGGTGGTAGATCAGTGACATAAAATAAAATACTTGCAGAATACTTAGATTTTAAATCTAAGGATATTAAAATCAATTGAACTAAGATCTTCATTGTTAGAAATTTAAATATAAATTTATTTAAGTTTGTTAAATGCTTGTTTTTCTGAAGTTTTTTAAGAGAAAATGAGTGATTTGTAAATTTGATAAATTTTAATAAACTGATTAGTATAAAAGAAAAAAGTATGTGTATAATACTAGTAACTGTAGTGTGTTTTTTTTTGTTGGTTTTTTTTTGTTAATCCTTACCCGAGGATATTTTTTCCATTAATTTTTGGAGAGAGTGGAAGGTATTATAGTTGGAGCTTGGGGGAGGAATAGAGAGAAACGCACTCTGGCTGGGGCCTAGATTGAACCTGCAACCCAGGTGCGTGTCCTTGATTGGGAATTAAACCCAAGACCTTTTGGTGCATGGTTGACACTCTGACCACTGAACTACGCTGGCCAGGGCTATAGTGTCCTTAATAGTCATCTTAATATCTTATGTTCTAATACATTTATTTAAAATGCTTTTATTTTGTTTTAATATTGGAAGCACTTTGATTTACTTCTCCCCCTCCTCCTGCTCAAAAAATGCTTTTATTCTAGCCTTGTTTCTTCAGCAGTTGATATGGAAATACATCTGATTTCCTATTAGTACATTTCATGTTTTATATGATTAAATACTACAGTAGTTACTTCATTTAGAGTCCAGGGGTGGGAAACCTTTTTGCTGTCAAGGGCCATTTGGATATTTATAACATCATTTACGGGCCATACAAAATTGTCAGCTTAAAAATTAGCCTGCTATATTTGGTCAAACATTTAATTAACTTACTGCTAATGCCTTGGCAGGGCCAGACCAAATGATTTTGCGAGACTTAGGCTGGATGTTCCCCATCCCCGATGTAGACAGTAAGCATATATATAAAATTCAAGTTGTTTTATTTATTTTTAAATGCTATATTTTTTTTATTAAAATAATATTTACATTGTAGGTAGGAGGTTGAAAGTAGAAAAAAATAAAAATAAAAATTAGGCTATTTTTAAAAAATGATTTCAGTTAATGAATTTCAGATACTCAGTTCTAGCTGAACTTCTAATTCAAATCAGAAGAAATATATTTCAACAATAGATACATATTTTTATTTTCTGTAGTTTATGAGATAATGTCTTAGAAATTAGAAATTTCCATTTTTTATTTGACAACATAAAAAAATTAACAAAAAATTTTACTTTTCTGGAGAGCATTTTTTTGGGCTTTCAGATTATCAGAACAAGTGACTTTTGAATCATTTCTTATTGCTCTTTTTCTACATTAAAAAAATGTTCAGACTTCTTAGATTAGTCATATGTCCTCAGTCTGGTTATTTTACAGATGGAACTTCAGGATAATTTTCTACATCTATCCTATATAATAAAAGCTTAATATGCTAAGTGTCTGGTCTTCTGTTCAACCATTCAAAACATATTATGCTAATGATATGCTAAGGCTACTCTACCACTTGTTATGACGTGCACTGACCACCAGGGGGCAGATGCTCTGACAGTAGGTTAGCTTGCTGCTGGAGTCTGGCCAATCGGGACTGAGTGAGACGGGGCTGGAAATGCCCTGGAGTTTTCCCATAGTCTCCCTGGCTGGCCAACCTCCTGCATCCCTCCCTGGCCACAATTGTGCACTGGTGGGGTCCCTCAGCCTGGCCTGCACCCTCTCGCAATCTGGATCCCTTTGGGGGAGGGGGGGTGTCCCTCAGGGGATGTTGGAGATCCGGTTTCAGTCTGATCCTAAAGGCATAAAAGGCATATATGCAAATTGACCGAATGGCAGAATGACTGGTCACTATGACATGCACTCACCACCAGAGGGCAGATGCTCAATACAGGAGCTGCACCTGGTGGTCTCCCACAGGGAAGCCCTGCTGAGCTAGAAGCCAGGATCATGGCTAGTGAGTACAGCAGTGGTTTCAGGAGCCTCTCCCGCCTCCATGGGAGCGCTAAGGATGTCTGACTAACAACTTAGACCTGCTCCTCCTTCCCCTGGCTGCCAGCACCCTGGGGGTGGGGGGTATGAGTCTAAGCTGTCAATTAGAGATCCCCCAAAGTCTCCCAGACTGTGAGAGGGTGCAGACTGGGCTGAAGGACCCCCTCCAAGTGCACAAATTTCTTTCTTTTTAAAATATATTTTATTGATTTTTCACAGAGAGGAAGGGAAAAGGATAGAGAGCTAGAAACATCTATGAGAGAGAGACATCGACCAGTTGCCTCCTGCATACCCCCCACCAGGGATGTACCCGCAGCCAATGTACATGCCCTTGACTGGAATCAAACCTGGGACCCTTCAGTCCGCAGACCGACACTCTATCCACTAAGCCAAACCGGTTTTGGGGAAGTGCACAAATTTCATTCACCGGGCCTCTAATCTATAATAATAAAAGCATAATATGCTAATTAGACCGGTCTTCCTTCTGGACAAAGCCGGAGCTGCGAGGGAAACCTGGGACCTGGGTGCCAGAGGGAAGCTGGTGCTGGCAGTTGGGGAAAGGAAGGCCTACTTTTGCACGAATTCTGTGCATCAGGCCTCTAGTATAAATATAAAAGCCTAAGCAACCAGCCAACTGGTAGCTATGATGCACACTGACTACTAAGGAGCAGACACTCAATGCAGGAGCGGAAACCACAGGCATGGCTGATGAATCTCAGAGGGGAGTGGGGAACACTTACTCTAATTTAACATAGGGGCCCAGTGCATGAATTTGTGCACCTTTAAAGGAACTGTGGGCTGCAAGGCTGCAGTGGACACAGGGGCGGGTCTTGAGCCATCCTCCATGCCCCTGCCAAGCCCCTCCCGCTATGGCCCCCACTCTCCTGCCTGCTGGCAGCCCCACTCCTGCCAGCAGCCCCACTCCCACAGTCACCACTCCCACGCACTGAAGGCACCAGCCCTGCTTGCACCTGCTGACAGCACAGAGCAATTGCCAGCACCAGCAACCTGTGCGAGTGGCAGCTACTGCCCCATTTGACCCTCAGGAGCAGGGTAGGTGGACAGGTCCGCAGGGACAATCGGGACCAGTGCTGGGTGCTGGCAGCAGGTGCGAGAGGTGGCTTCCTGCCCTAGTTGCTCCTCAGGAGCAGGGGGAGGTGGAGAAGCCCTCAAGGGTGATTGGGGGCAGCTGCCACTTGCATCCATTGATGGCACCAAGTGATCAGGGCAGGCGCCAGGCAGTGGCAGTGGGTGTGAGCAGCAACTCCAGTGCTGGCAGCAGGTGTGAGGGACCGTGGTGGGCGGGAGCAAAGAATTTTTAAATAACCACCAGAGGCTTGCCCTGATGACAGTGACTGGCGCCCCGCCTTGGTTTGGCGCCCTGCTCACATGCTCCACCATCCCGCCACAGCCAGTGCCCGCCATTTTCTGCATTCTGTGGCCTGCTGCCAATGTCCGCCATGTTCTGCATGCACCCCCTGGTGGTCAGCGCACGTCATAGTGAGCATTTGTTCAGTTATGCTGTTTGGTCTGTTTGTATATTAGGGTTTTATACATATAGATTGCCGAGCTAAATTATAACAAATGATGACTCTGGCTAAAGTCAAATGGTATTTCTGTGTTTGAGAAGCCTAATAATTATTTACATTTCTAGTTACTTGGAGCAATTTTATATTGAATCAATGATGTCTGTTTAGTATTTCGTGCATCTTTTTTTATTTGGTATAAAGTACTATGGCGAACTTTTTAAAATTGATTTTAGAGAGAGAAAGGGAAAGAGAAACATTGATGTGATAGCAAAACATCAGTTGGCTGCCTCCGGCACGCGCCCCTATGAGACCTGGGTCTGTTCTCTGGCTGGGAATTGAACCCGTCTCCTTTAGATGCACAGATGATACTCTACCAAGCCACATTGGTCAGGGCCGTGACCTCTTTTAGTAACAAAAAGAAGTTTAAAAATCATTAAGTTTCTTTTCTTTTTTTTTTTTTTTTTTAATATATTTTATTGATTTTGTACAGAGAGGAAGGGAGAGAGAGAGCTAGAAACATCGATGAGAGAGAGTCATCGATCAGCTGCCTCCTGCACACCCCCTACTGGGGGTATGCCCGCAACCAAGGTACATGCCCTTGACCGGAATCGAACCCGGGTCCCTTCAGTCCCCAAGCCGACGCTCTATCCATTGAGCCAAACCGGTTTCGGCAAAAAAATCATTAAGTTTCTTTCGTAGTAAAAAGGCAAACTTAACATTTATGTAGCATATCTATTTTTCTTTTCATTTGGTTATTTTCAGGATTCCTGTGAAGAGAAGCTGCAACTTTTGGAACATATAGAATATATAATTTGATATTATGTTTTCTTATGTGAATGTTTTATATCTTTGAGAAGTAGTGAGTTGATGATTTCATAGATTGAGTATAGCTGTTTCTCAAACATTGAGAATGTTTTGGAATGTTTTCTTTGGATTAGTAAAAATGTGTAATATACCATTTAGGACCCCAAATAAAGGTTGCTTAAGTTTTTTATTTAGAATGATATATCATTGTTGTAAGCAGATTTCTTTTCAGAGTTAAAATGAGATATCAGTACTTTCTAGAATCTGCCTGTTAATCATTTGTCTTTGATTCCAATGTGATTTGAAGTCCTAGTTCTGAAAGGACAACTCACTTTTCTCTTAACTATGCTCTTAACAATGTCTATACTGCTTTCTCACTTCTGAGGGATACAAGGGGAAAAGCATAGATAAACTCAAATGAAATACTATGGCAGAAATGATGTTTTGGCTAATGGAAAATGTAGTATGATAGAGCTGGTATAATAAGCAATCTAGTTAAAAACATATGGGGCCTTGAGTGTTATCTATTAGCCTGTAGTATATAAGTCTGTAGACAAATTACTTAAGCTGTTTGTCATGCTTCAGCCTATGTGGCAGGAAATTCAACATGAATAATTGGATGGTGGAAAGAGTTGTAGCTATACATAATGTCATTTATGTTATATAGAAGTATACAACCCTGAAAGTAAAAGCATAGTGTGAGTTGGTGTCTTCTAATACAGATATTTAAACTGCAGTCACACTCTTAGTTTTCAAAACACAGAATGGGATTCCGTGACCTCACTATGCAAATTGAAATACTGTCCTATACAGTCCAGGAGTGCTGAATGAACGTAGAGATAACATTTCTGAAAACTATAGAGAATAAGTATTAAAAGAAAAAGGCTTCATTGCGATTTTGATAAAGAAAAAGGAGTGGAAATGAGAAATTAGAAAGTCAGTTGTTGGTTGTCAGCCAAGTTGTAAAGCAGATTTTTCAAATGCATGGTTTAAGAAGCAGTAGGGAAATAACACTGATTTATTACAATAAGCCATGTTAAATACTCTGGATTGTTTTTTACTATGGTTAGCAAAACTGGTATGGGCATGGTGTACCATAGTGCAACTCAATTTGATATTAGATAATGAAAAGTCTTGGGATATATATATATATATATATATATATATATATATATATATATATATATATTAGAGACAGGGAAAGAGAGGGAGGGGGGAGAGAGAGAGACAGAGAAAAACTTTGATTTGTTGTTCCACTTAATTGTGCATTTATTGGTTACTTCCTGTATGTGTCCTTACCAGAGGACTTGGCATATGACGATAACGCTCTAACCAACTGAACAACCTGGTCAGGGCCTTGGCTTGGAAGTACTCTTGAGGGAGAGTCTGTTCTTTTTTTTTCTTTTTAAAAAAAATATATATATTTTATTGATTTTTTACAGAGAGGAAGGGAGAGGGATAGAGCGAAACATCAATCAGCTGCCTCCTGCACACCTCCCACTGGGGATGTGCCTACAACCAAGGTACATGCCAATGATGGGAATTGAACCTGGGATGTTTCAGTCTGCAGGCCGACACTCTATCCACTGAGCCAAATCAGTTAGGGTGAGAGTCTACTCTTGAGGGTATGTCTTTTTCTCTACCCTCAATATGACAGAATCAAGAGAAAAAATAATTTTGAACACTGAGCTGCAAACATAATCAGATTAACAACAGTTATCAAGTTCTGCTTTTAGGTTTCAAAACACAAACAGTACAGAAGAAGCAGGTATAATAGGAAATACTTGACTTGATAGAAGTTCATCTGATCAGATTTTACTTTATTGATTTTTAAAATATATTTTTATTGATTTCAGAGAAAAAGGAAAGAGGGAAAGAGATAGAAACATAAATGAGAGAGAATCATTGGTTGGCTGCTTCCTGCATGCCCTTTACTGGGAATTGAGCCTGCAACCTAGGTATGTGCTTTTGACTGGAATTGAATCTGGCACCCTTCAGTCCATAGGCTGATGCTCTAGCCCTTGAGCCATACCAGTTAACACATCTGATCAGATTTGAGTTAGGGTAGAGACAGAGATGGGAATAAGGAAGACGATGGAATTAGTTAGCCAAAGCTTAATATGAAATAATCATGTGATGTTGCTGCTGAAATCTTAACCTAATCTTAGACATGATAGCTGCTGTCAAATATTTGAAGAACTATCTTGTAAAAGGGGATAGAAGAGTTCCCAGAAGGAAAGTTTTAGCACTTATGGAATGGGCTCTCTCAGTAGGTGCCTAATCAGTGGTAATAGTAAGTTTAAATGACTATTCTATCTAATAAAGAGGGAATATGCTCATTGACATCACACCCTCACAAAGATGGCAGCACCTACAGCCAATAAGGAGGGAATATGCTAATTGACTGCCACACCCTCAAAGGTGGTGGCATCCATAGCCTCAAGATGGCAGCGCCCAGTCCCCTCAGCTCCACCAGAGCAGCAGGTGAGCGGCACAGCCTGCCTCAAGAGTCCTCCAAACCCCCTCAGCCCCCCAGCTACCCTGGGCCGGCCCGAGGCACAGGCAAGCCTCAGATGGTGGATGCCCAGCCACCCAGGACCAGCTGAGACTTGTGCTGCCAGCAGTGATAGCCGCAGAGATGTGATTGGGGCATTGCCTTCCCCTGATCTCTGGGTCACCTCCCGCTCCTGAGAGCTCTCGCACTGTGAAAGGGGGCAGGCCAGGCTGATGGATTTTCTCCCCTCCCCCCCAGTGCATGAATTTTCATTACCCGGCCTCTAGTCAGTACTATAAAAGAAATTACAGTATATCAATAGAAGCTTGACATTTAGGGTCTCTTTCAAGCTTTAAAGTTTGATTCTTTTATTTTTACTTTAATAGAAATTTTTTATCGTTGGACACTTCACAGATTACCTAATCTTAGACATGATAGCTGCTGTCAAATATTTGAAGAACTATCTTGTAAAGGATAAGAGAAAGTGATAGAGTAATATGAAGGAATGAGCACAAAACTGCTTCCATCCCCTTTTAACACCCAACACATTGCACAGAATTGGCTCTCAATGAATGGTGAAGGGACTTATTGTCACTTGGGTTCAGGTTATAGCTCTCTCACCAGCCATGTGAATTTGAACATTTCATTTAATCTGTATATCTGTTAAGTAATTAACAGTTGGAGTAGATGACTTTATGTCTTTTCTACCTCCAACTTTATATGTGGCAGATTTGTTTGTTCTCTTTATTTGAAGCAGTTCTGAGATTTAGGAGTTTTACCTGGTAAAGAAGATAATTTGCAGAATTTTGAACTTAGCTGTGATGTTTCGGAAACCTTTTTTTTCTAAGGTATCTTTAATTGAAGATGGTACTTTTATGATTCAGAATTTTTCTGCTATTTTAACTTTGTAGATGAGACAAATGACTACAGGAAGCCCTTTAGAAATAAAATAGGATATTTTTTAGAATTAATATTTAGATTTTTAAATGGTTTGAGATAATAAAAATTACTGAGGCAATTGGATTTTAGGGCTGGCTAAAGTCTATATTATAAAAATAAGGTCCTTAAATTTCAGTTTTTAAAGTTATAGAAATTATTAGTTTACTATAATTACTTTTAATGTTAAAAGTACTGGGAAATAAAATGTTATGTTTCTCATTACTTTTCATACTCCTTATTCATATCTAATTAATATGTATTAGAAGTTTTCATGATTGAAATTAAAGTAAATTCAAATATATTTTCCCCTCAAGTTATAAAATTAAAATAAATGTAATAATAACTAATATAATCATTTTAGTGATGTTACACAGGTATAGTTCTTTCAGACATATCACTTAATCTGCAATTACTAGTAAAATAATTAGTGCAGGATTTATATTCTCCTTTTTATAGGTAAGAAAATAAGCCCTGAGAGATTAATCAACTTAAGATCACAGAACAGCTCGTCATTAAGACCTGGAATTAGATCTTCTGACCATCAATCACTACTCTTTTCTTCTGAATTATATTGCCTCTATCTAGCACCTGTATATTACTAATTGATGAAATTATACTACGTTAAATTGTTTCTTGATACTTCACAGCTGGCAGACACACCAAAATCTGAAAGATATGAGCATGTTCTGGAGGCATTAAATGATTACAAGACCATGTAAGTTGATTTATTTTATGTTTCCCTATGAGGGAGACATTTATTCAGTATAAGGAATAATGGCATTGTTTAAGAATTGTGGTATTTGTGTATAGAACTAGTACATACAGTTTAAAAATTTCTAATGTCCTACTCTCAGTTAGAGTAATGCATTGATTCTCAAGGATTGGAGAAGAGAAGAATAATCCTATGGGAATGGGGAATGGGAGGTGGCATATGAATATCTCAGGGGAATTTGGCCTGGCCAATTTGAAAAAGTGCAACCAGTAATGATTTATTTTTATAATGCAATCTACCTAAAGTAAAATAAAATCTTGTTAGCTGGTGGGATTTTGTACAAGGTAGGGGAATATATTGTAGAGAATGTGGGTTTTTAAATGAGATCTTTTATGGTAATAAGATTAGTTACTGCTTCAGTTATAGAAAAGTAGTATCTGTTGTCTAATTGATTTCAGAGATGAAGGGACAGAGGAAGGGAGGGGGGGAGAAAGAGAGAGAGGGAGAGGGAGAGGGAGAGGGAGAGGGAGAGGGAGAGAGAGAAGCATTAATAATGAGAGAGAATTACTTGACTGGCTGCCTCCTATACGCCCCATACTGGGGATTGAGCCACAACCTGAGCATATGCCCTGACCGGGAATCAAACCATGACCTCCTGGTTCATAAGTCAATCAATGCTCAACCACTGAGCCATGCTGGTCGGGCATTGGTCTAAGTTTTTTATAATTAAGTGATATTATTTTATATTTTTAACCTAATCTTTCCTTTTTAAAAAATCTAGCATATCTATATTTCTTTAAAATATTTTCAAAATACATAGAAATGTTTTTTAAAATGTATATGCTGGCTTCAACTATTGAATTACATTATACAATTTTTATAACAAGCTTGCTGTTTTTGTACTTGATAGCATTTCCTCATTTAAAAAAAAAAGTTATAATTACTAGTAGCTAGATATTTAGGCCAGCTCAAAAAGTCATAAAGTACATGAGCAGTTACTGTGTTGGTAGAAATACTTTATGGGACAGGGAATTCTGTAATCCAGTTTAGGGTGCCAGAAATACATGTGTTTCTATTATAGTAGAAATGGGAGCTTCTCTTTTTCAATCCTACATAACAGTGGAAGAACAGTCCAAGCATTTGTTAGTGGTTCTTGTTGCTAGGCAAGCTGAACTAAGATAGGTTGGGATGTTTTGGAATAAGAAATCTAAAGGCTCTTATTTTTCTTTTTCTTTAAAAAAAATTTATTTTACTGATTTTTTTACAGAGAGGAAGAGAGAGGATAGAGAGTTAGAAACATCAGTGAGAGAGAAACATCGATCAGCTGCCTCCTACACACTCCCACTGGAGATGTGCCCTTCACCAGAATAGAACCTGGGACCTTTCAGTCCACAGGACGACGCTCTATCCACTGAACCAAACCTGTTAGGGTAAGGCTCTTATTTTTCAGAGTATATTATTCAGAGACCCAAGCCCACACTGAAATAACATATCTCTGCTCCAGGTTATTTCTAATTTCAGATGACACACTAGATATTCTTTGTATTTTCTGGGCTTCTGGGATTGGTCTTCTACACTTTCTTCAACAATGCTATTGCTTATTATTTTCTGATCAGAGTTTCTCACAAATATACTCTCAAATGAAATTCTTCTTGTCCTACACCTTTTTTTGGGAGATATTTTTGAACAGATGACACTAAAATATGGAAAAACATACTAGACTAAGAAGACACAACTCTATATTCTTCGTTCCTCTAAAAAGTTAGATGCCATGTTTCAAAAAAGAAAGGTGGACATGTGCGCATCTCTCATCCTTCTGATGCTATCTTCCCTCCCTATTCTTCCATCATATCCTACTGTGGACTGGTTCAGGGGCAAATAAGAATCAAAGAAAGCAAGGGAAAAGGTAGTTTTTGTAGTATGGGGTGGACTTTCATGTATGAAGACTTAATATCTGAAAGTTGAGTTAGGGTCTGCCATGTATATGTGTTCAGTTTTTAAATCTTTAGTTAACTTTTTTAAAAATTTAGGTTTATGTCTGGGAAAGAAATAAAGAAGAAGAAGCATTTGTTTGGGTTGCGAATTCGTGTTCCTCCTGTGCCACCAAACGTGGCTTTCAAAGCAGAGAAAGAACCTGAAGGAACATCCCATGAATTTAAAATTAAAGGCAGAAAGGCATCCAAACCTATGTCTGATTCAAGGTAAAAGTTGATCTGTGGCTTAGTTTTTTCTCTTTAGCTTATTTGTAACTAAAAATGTGTATTGTTTAGTCTCATTAGTATATTTGAAAATACAAGTGGTAGTTAACTCTGATTTGTTTTACTGTGTATAATTTTTTGCTTAGACAAGGTACAAAGAGTTAATACCAGATGTTTATTCATTTATTTCAGATCTTAGGCTTTTAAGGAACAAGCACTATTGATTTGGTTAGCAAACAATTTAAGTGCTGGCCTATTTATTTGTTTATTTTTCTTTTACTCATTAATTCCACTTAGCAAGCATCTTATTAAGTGCAGGGATATAATAACAAACAGGACAGACTTCCTTTCTGCCCTGATGAGGTTTGCATTATATTGAGGAAAAAAGGTAATAAAAGTAAAATAATTACAGAACATGCTAATGCCATTTAGGATATAACACACATATTTAGACTGTACTGGTATGGGTTGGGCCTACCTAAGAAGGAGGCTTAAGGAAGGCCTATTTTAGTTGAAATTTAAAGAATAAAAATGACCTAATAATTTGAAGAACAAAGGGATGAATACTCCAGGTATGAGAAATAACAAGTGTGAAAACTGTGAGTTATGTTATAGGAACTCTCCAGAAGAATTTTGAGGTAAGAATGAGGGGTAGAGAGTAGCTTCAAAGTGTTGGGAAAGTTAAGTAGGGCATGATCATATAGAATCCTGTAGATTTCATGAGGACTTTGGGTTGTTTTCTATGAATAATGGGAAACTATTTAAAGATGCAAGCATATTGGACTACCCTTTGAAAGTACCCTTTGGATGCTATTTGGAGAATGGATAGGTATAGAAGCAAGAGAAAATGAAATTAAGACTTTTGAAGTTGTCTAGGTAAGAGATAGATGATGCCTGCTTATATAGTGGTAGGTAGTAACAGTCCAATGGAGAGCGAAAATAGATTCAGGAGAACTATTAGAAGAATTTATTGGCTATGTGAATGAATTAAATTTATGAAAAAAAGGGAGGAATGAAGTTAACAAATGCCCAGATTTCTGGCTTGAGCAACTGGTGAGTGGTATTACCTATTTTCAAGATCTGAAAGAACAGAATTTGGCAAGGTGAATGAAGCATTCTTCTGTTTCATACTCATTGATTCTGAGATTCTTACCAGGGATATCTAAGTGATGGTAATGATGTTTAGATATAGGCAATTGAGTACTCGGGAGAGGGCACATGATATAAATTTGGAAGCCATGAGAGTGAGTGAAATTACCTAGGGAGCAAGAGAAAAGAAGAGAATATGGCCCAGAACAACGCTTTGATACCATTTCGAGATTTGGGAAGAGGTGAAATAAATGAAGAAGACAAAAAGGGATGATCAGTGAAATAGGAAATCAAAAAAGTTTAGTGTCACAAAAACCAAAAAAGGGTACTGTTTCAAGAAAGATTAATGTATTAAATGTTTTTAAGAACTGGGTTAAGATTAGAGAAAATTTTTATTGCATAAGATAGCATTTTTTTAGTGACCTTGACAAAAACAATTTTTTGAAAGGTAAAGATAGAAACCAGATTGAAATATGTTAAAATGTGATTTAATCTGGCACTGTCCAATTGACATGTCACAACTTTTTTGTTTTTTCTGCAAATAAGGAACATAGGGAGATTCAAAATAATGATGATAATAACAACAAAGGAAATAACCATTAAGGATTCTGAATGAAAAGGGAGAAAGTGGAAAGGGTATGTGTCCTCAACTCTTAGAAGTAGTTTTACTGTGGAGAGAAATAGATAATGGAATGAATGGAAACTGAAGAGGAGGGAGTAATCAAGTGATTTTTTTAATAGATAGAAGATAATTGGAACCTGTTTCTGTGTGCTAGTAGGAATGATCCAGTGGAAAAGAGATTTGTATAGGAGATAGGGGAGGTAATTAAAAGTAATTAAAGATATTGTAAAGTCTTTGAGAAGCCAAAAAGAAAGGGATTTTAGAGCCCAGATGTGGGAGTAGCCTTTAGAAGGAGAACTTACCGTACATCTTTCTGTTGAAATGGAGTGACAAAAGAGAAGATAGGTACAGACGCTGGTTTTATTGTAGGTTTGCCATTTGGAAGATGACTGAAGTTATTGCTGAATAGCTTCTATTTTCTCAGTGAAGTAATGAGGCAAAGATAGCTGAGAGAGAAATTTAAGGAGTAAATAAAAGTATGAGGTAGTCATTTTGGAGAATAAGAAAATGTAATTTCAGAGGGTTGGCAGTGCTTCCTATCCATTTGAGTTTGTCGATGCTACTTCAAAGTTGTGTTTTTTGTTTGTTTGTTTTTTTAAGGAAAGAATACTATCACTTACAAATTTTATTATTAATCCTTTGCTAGCAATTGCCCACATGATGAATATTGAAAAAGGTTCGCACAAACTTTCTCATTCCTATCATGATTTTGATAGGACACTCCATCTGTGGTAGCTATAAGGTTTTCATTTGATGCTACTGGATAATGAATGGTTCAACGTGCTTTAAAAGGCATTTTCAGTTACTTCTGGGCCCTAAGTATACTTTTAATGTGAAAGTATTTCCTTAGTCAGGAGTCGGTCCTTTAGAAATGTTATGTTGACCATCTTCAACATAACCTATCCATCTTAGCCTTGAGACTTTTTATTGCAGTTATGGTTTGTTCCTCTCGCTTTCTTACTTGTACTTCCACCTTTATTCTCCAATCTTAATTTGGCATCTGGAGAGGTAGTCTTTCCTACTTTTCTTCATTCATATCTTTTCATCTGTATCTATAGTCTTGTTTATTTTTTATGGTTGCTTTTAATTTAATTTTCCTGGATAATTTTCTTATAGCACTTAACCCACTTAATTAGCTTGCTTATATGTACATTTGTCACTTTCTAACTATATTGTTAACTCATTAGCACAGGGAACATCTTGGTATTCCTATTATCTAATATCCCCTTTATATCGTAGATAATGTTGAATAAATGAAATAGACATTTTGCATATTGATAGGTGCTCTTTTCTTCCCCTATAATTAATTAGAGGTGTCCTTAACTATTGCTTTTTTCCTTACTATTACTTGATATTTGCCTTTATGTCTCAAAAATGGTTTTCTAGATCTTTCTAATTTTGCCCTTTGAATGATTCATGCACTCTACCCTCTCCCACCATGGGCTTCATTCTCTTTCTGATCATCATCATTTATATATAAAATTTAGGTATATACATCTAAAGGTAACCTCTATTTATATATAGTTAGTATATTTTAACATAGTTATTTCCTGACTCTGTGAGGTTAACTGATGAATTCCTAATTACTTTTAGTAGTAAAGTCTTCAAACATCCCCCAGGTATCCACCTAGTAACAACCTAACCTATGTAATGAAACTTTCAGGAGTTTTGGACTTTGCCATTTGAAATAGCTGTTTCTTTTTTTTGGAAAAAAAATTTTTAGGTGGTATATATTTTTCACAAGTGTATTAAAGAGAACTTTCTTAAACCTTTCATATGTGAATTATCTCATAAGTCAATAAATGCTTTTTAAAATTAAAATGTTCTATTAATGCACTTGACCAAACTTATAGATTCTACTTCTATTTAATTTTGTTTTTATATTATTATTAATATAAAAATAAGTATAACCTAATTATTACATAGAGATATAACTGTATATTGTCCATTGTTTTTGTTGTTATTGTTATTCTCTTTATGCAGAGATTAAATACATAGTGATTTTATTTTTCAGGGAAGTAAGCAATGGCATAGAAAAAAAAGGAAAGAAAAAATCTGTAGGTCGTCCACCTGGTCCATATACAAGAAAAATGATTCAGAAAACTGCTGAACCATCTTTGGTAAGAGGAATAATATGTTTGTATATGTTCTTAGAGAGGAAAGATGCTTGAAATGACTTAAGAAACCAGTATCTTTTCAGCTTACTTTAGAACCATGCTTTTAAAGTATATATATATTTTTATTTTCCAGGATAAGGAATCAATTTCAGAAAATCCTACGTTGGATTTACCTTGTTCTATAGGGTAAATAGAGTTATTTTCTTCTATCCTATGAACTTTTTTTGGGGGGGGGAATTAGTATTTCTATTGTTATGTAATATAGTCGTTTTACCATTTAAATTCTTTTGTCTCAGGAGAACTGAGGGACCTGCACATTCATCTAATACCTCAGATGTGGATTTCACGGGTGCTTCCAGTGCAAAAGAAACTACCTCGTCTAGTATTGCCAGGCATTATGGGTAGATCTTTTATGTTCTTATTCTTTGTTAATTTTCCTGTAGTCTCTTTTCTTTGTGAAGTGATGATTAACGACATATTTTCCAATTGAAAGTGATACAAGTATGTTTTTTGCCTTTTGAAAAGCAACTAGTATATCCAATACTTTAAGTTATTAATATTCAATTGAATAATTTTGCTTTTCAGAGCACAGACATTCAAATTTTTTTGAAAATTTGCTGTGTGCACTGAGAAAAGAGGCACACAAATGTTTATAGGCTGTGTTCTTTTCTGTGAGATCTTTTTATGCTTTTCTTTTAAAATATTTTTTAAATTTATTTTTATTGACCTTTTTTTTTGAGAGAGAGAGAGAGAGAGAGAGAGAAAGGAAGGGAGAAGGAAAGGGAAGCATTGATTGGCTGTCTCTTGTAGGCCCCCTACTGGGGATAAAGCTTGAAACATAAGTTCTTTTGTTAGTAAAAGGATTTTTAAACTCAGGATTTTTATGAATAGCAGATTTCTTTGATGTTTTACATAACCTAAACTCTTCAGAAGAAAAACTGTTTCATAAAGTGTGACTCATCAATTATGAAAAGTTTTGTTTACTTGGTGTCAGAGTTTTGAGCTTCTAAGTTTTATACTTCTCTTTAATTTTTGTTCACAATTAAAAAACTACTTGTGTAAATTATATAAAATTCTAAGTATTTGAAGGCTTAAAATGTAATATTTTTAAAATGAATCATGAACAATAAGATAACCTATTTTTTTTGCCTCTTATCAAGCATTGTGCTATAAGTCTTTTACATATATTGTCTTCTTTAATTCTTACAACAGTCTTTTGAGTTGTAGGTCCTGTTATTTCCATTTTACAGGTAAGGAAACTGAAACCTAGAGGGTTTTAAGTAACAGTCCAAGATAGCAAGTTTAGCAAGTATAACAGAGCTGGTATGTTAACTGTAGTGTGATTATAAAGTCTTTGAATTTAGCAGTTGTGCTCTGTTCTCCCTTTGATATAAGTTCATAAAATCATTGAATTTCTGAGCAGAAAAGGACCTCAAAGATGATCTAGTTCAACATCTTCACTTAATCTTTTCTCTTAAGAGAACACAGAAGATAAAAGATTTGAATTTGGCCAATATCACAACAGCTATACTCAGGATTGCCTGAGTTCTAGTTTATGCTTATTCCAGTTCATTTCCTTACTTTATTAGGCTTAGAACTGGTAATAAGACACCCTTTATTCTAGTTTCACCATTTGTTTAAGAACATGGAACAGTGTCTTAAACATAATAGGAACTTATTGTATATTTGCTGCGTTGAATGAATGAACTGGCTTTCTGGGGGATGAGGGATGCTAATGATAGAAGTGTTGACAAAACCTAACTTACTAATAGGTCCTCTTGATAAGAATTTGACTTGGCCTCATAATCCAAAAATTTCCTTTGATTCTTTTAATCTTAATAGAACATAGTTAAGGAAGAAAAGCTCTTCAAAGGTCAGCCCCAAGAAGGTGATGGAATCTAATGAAGGCGAGTGATAATCCATTTATATAGCATTTATTGTTTTGGTTTGGCTAATTTTGTCACCAGGTTATAAACTTATAACAGAGTGATAGGAAAAAAATAATCAGAGAAAACACATAGTATGGGCAGAGGATATTTTATAAACTTAGTGGATAATTATGGTCTTTTTTTCTTCCATAGTTTATCTGACTCCAGAAAAAGAACTCGTACAGGAAGATCGTGGCCTGCTGCGATCCCTCATTTACGGAGGAGAAGGGGTCGTCTTCCAAGAAGAGCACTCCAGACTCAGAACTCAGAAATTGTAAAAGACGATGAAGGCAAAGAGGATTACCAATTTGATGAACTCAACACAGAGATTTTGAATAACTTAGCAGATCAGGAGTTACAACTCACTCATCTAAAAAACTCCATTACCAGTTATTTTGGTGCTGCAGGTAGAATAGCATGTGGTGAAAAATATCGAGTGTTGGCTCGTCGGGTGACACTTGATGGAAAGGTGCAGTATCTTGTGGAATGGGAAGGAGCAACTGCATCCTGACTGTAGGACTGAACATTATGTTCACTGCACTCTCATTTTCTGTAGGTACAGTTCAAACCCCTAAAGGAGTCTGCTTTTACTATCTTTCTTAAAAAAATAAAAAAATGTAAAAAATTTTACAAAAGAAGATGCTACTAGCCTTAATGTGTACCTGTCAATGTTATGGATATTGTCATAAAAAGATATCTTTTAAAAATCAAACAGAGACTTAATTTTTTAAATCTTAAGATTTGTAGAATGTTTCTAGGATAGGATATTAAAAATGATTCAAACCCATGCATGGTGTTAGATAATTTTTCTAATTATTCCATTGAGTCAGTTTTTGTGATGAGTGGTTATCAGAGCAAACAGATCCTGTAGTTAGATAGCACAAGTATTTGAAAAAATTGTGTTTTGTTACCAAAATGTTGGAAAAAATTTATTTCAATATCTTTTTAGATTTCATAAAGTGCAGTGTATATAATGCCTACTAAAAGACTGTAAAATATTGAAATTTTCTTTCAAGCAAAGTGTAAAAATATATATTGAGCCTGTAAATTGCTCTGTGACTAGACTTCATTGTCGTCTTAATATATTCTTTGCATGTGCATACATATATATACACACAGGTGTGTATGTATATGTGTGTGATTATGTGACCTATGCAATACAAATTATGGGAACGGGCAGCTTTGGAGTATATATCCCATAATTCTTTTTTCAGGAATAGTTGCAGTATTTACACAGCAGCATTTCTTCTCAGGCTTTTATTGGGTGCTGTTGCTTACTATGTATGAAGAGAAATGTGTCAAAACAAGTTTAGTGTGCTCTGAAGAAGGGTGTGGACAACATTGTTCATGGGCTTTTAGAATGCTTTTCTCTTTCAGTCCTTGTAACTCAGCTGTTCAGTACCTAAAACAAATCTAATAATATGAACATTATCTCCTACTAGAAGTAACATTTTAAAGTTTTCACGGCACATTATGATTGTAAATGTCTCTCAGTTTTAACAGTAAGTCTATAGGAGTCCTGTGAAGATTCCTGAAATGTCTGTAGTAACTGTTAGTCATGTTGAATAAGTGTAGAATGAACAAAGTATTTTATTGCACAGGGTTAACAAACAGTATGTTGCCTGCCACGGCTAGTGCTGTTTTTTTTACAACATTACCTCTTGTTTTTATAAAATGTACCAAGATTTAAATTGATAATTTTATTTTACATGTAAAAAGAAACCATTTCTTTTATCACCAGTGTTAGAGTTGTCTTCAGTTTATTTTTGTTTTGTTTGTTTGTTCTTTTTTAGCCAAAGAGTAAACAGAAGAATATTCTTTTTTTTTTTTTTTTTTTTTTTTTTTGGTGGCTATTCATTTTATTCTTAAAAGTGATTGGTGGATTTTAGCCTAAAAATTGGGGAATTTGCTGCCAAAATGAAAAATATGTAAAGTGTAGTAATTACAGAGCGGTAAAAATGTGGGTTAGTACTTATTTATTCCATGGATTGATTATTTGACTGTTTATAATGAAAGTTGCTTTATTTCTTAAACATCTTCAAAAGATGACCTTTTCTTGTCATACTATAGCCAAAAGAAGCAGAGAACATTGTTGTCCTGCATTTGGTTCCTGGTTGGCCAGGTATAAATGAGCTTTACAAAAGTGTGAATTAAAACTGTCACTTCTGTTTACCTCCACCAAAACTTGATTTCCCCCTAGCTATTAATTTAAAGTTGCCTTTCCTGCACTGCAATATTTTGAATAACACACAGAGTTTGTGTTGATTTTGAATGTTTGTTTATATCTAGGGGTAATGGAAAATGTAAATCCCGTGTAACCTTACTCACTCCACCTGTATCATATTATTTCATTTTTCCCAAAGTCCTTTAATTCTAACTGAACACCAGCAGTATTTTTAGAAACTCTTTTGGCATACTTGGAAGATGATTAATTAAGCTGAACTGTCTTTAGACGTAATTATTGTGAATGTCTGTTTTATTTTATCATGGTGGTTCACATGGCTCTGATGTTCAGTTTGTATTTTTGGAATTGCTTTACTTAGAATTAAAACAGACCAACATTAAATGTGTGTATTTTTTAAATAGCTAATGAGTTTTGCTTCTGTATTTGCTTAAAAATACACACTGGTGCAATAGATGACTACTATTAGCCCAGGGAGCTAAGGATTTTCCTATTCCATTGTAAATATATATGTTCACTTGAATCAATCTTTATAAAACTTTGCTTTCATTTTTCTCTTGCCCCCACCCCCCCAAACAATAATAATTATTGCATGTTTGTCTTAAATGATCCTTAAAAACTTACCTGTTAGGCCAGCTTGTATTCTTTATATTTGAAGAATATAAATCTCTACCCTGTCCTCAAAATTTAAAAAGAAAAAAAATTCAGACTTTCAACCATGTATTTTTTCTTATTTACAAAGAAGGTGTCAGGGTTCATATAAAAGGATTTTTTAATTTTTTCCTAAAAAGCTTCTTCCTACCTAGGCTACAGAAAGAAAAGATGAACAAATAATATATCATACTCATTTAATTCGTTTGTTTCAAACAAATACATTTTTATAAATACCCTTGAAATAAATAGTAAATATGGGTTCTGAGGCTCTTAGGTGATCAAGCAAGATCAGAACATGAACAATCAGAGTTATTTTAGAAATTCTAATGTAGGGGTAATGAAGTCAGTTCTTGCTAGGTATATTTTATTACTAAATGTTCAATAGAAGTGAATGTTCACGGGTATATGAGTTGATGGGGGTACCTTTTTTCATTTGCAACGCATGTCCAACTAGGCATGTTTGGTTTCTATTGTGTGTACAGAAGATTTCTATTATCAGTGTTGGGGATTATAACTAATTCTTTTTTTTGGGCTATTTGATTGAGTTTCTACTAGATAGATACTAATAAGTTTTTATTGGAACATAATCTGACATGCATTGTTGCAGCAGGCTGTTTTATAATGTGGTTCTAGAGTTGTTTGAATGAGGATGTGATGGCAAAGGAAGATGTCTGTGCAGCTTTGGGAAATAGAAGCCTTCTTTTAAGGGGATGTTTCCTCTAATGATATTGGAGTATCTCTTTGAATACACACTCCCCAAAATCTCCCTTTGTTTCTTCTGTGGCAGTTAATCGGTCATGTCCTTTCCTCAGGAAAACAAAAACTTGACAGTAAAATGTAAAGTGAGAATTTTATCTGATCATGGATTCTTTTCTAATTATTAGTAGTTAAAAAACCAGATGTCTGACTGATAGCAATTTGAAGATCCTATAAAAGTGAGGGGTTGTGAAAGCAATCTGGCTCTCTGAATAACTAATAGGTAGGACCAACGATGGCTCAATATTTATCTTAATATCAAAGTGTCTTGGAGAAATAACTAGATGAATATATTTTGCTGACTTTATATTTGAAATTAGAATAATACTGCAAATGAACTGGCTCACTTTTTTTTCCCTCTCCCTCCCCCTCCCTTTTATCCAACAAAATCCCTCTTTGCTTGCTCCCCGTGGACATAGTTAACAACTCCTCACTTTTACAGCGTCCTCAAGGAGTGTGATATCTCATTCGGAAAAATTTCCCATTAGATTCAAGCAAGCAAACAAATGAACAAAACCTCAAAAAATGTTAAAACGTACATATTGGATAAAACAAATATATTTTGTCATTATCATTAGTCTAATTTCTGTTCCTTTAGTATTCAATCCTTTTTTTCTATTTTAATTCTGTAACATGCTTTCCCAATAATAAAAGTGGTATATATATATATATATATATATATATCCACTGATAATAAAAAAAATGAAAGTGGTGTGTGTGTGTATGTGTGTGTGTGTGTGTATGTATGTATATATATATATATATATATATATATATATATATATACACACACATACACACCACTTTTTTATCTATTCATCTGTTGATGGACACTTAGGTTACTTTCATATCTTGGCTATGGTAAATTTTGCTGCAGTGAACAAGTGGATGCATATGTGTTTGTTTGTTTATTTGTTTAAAATATATTTTATTGATTTTACACAGAGAGAAATTGAGAGGGATAAAGAGCTAGAAACATCGATGAGAGAAATATCGATCAGCTGTCTCTTGCACACTCCCTATTGGGTACATGCCCTTGACTGGAATCGAACCCGGGACCTTTCAGTCCGCAGGCCGACGCTCTATCCACTGAGCCAAACCGGTTTCGGCATGCATATGTTTTTTTTTTTAATTAGTGTTTTGGTTTTCTTCAGATCAGTTACCAAGAGTGGAATTTCTTTGTCTCTTATTATAGCCTTTGTTTTAAGGTCTGTTTTGTCTGGTATAAGTAATGCTACCCCAGTTGTTTTTGTTTGTTTATTTGTTTGTTTTTTCTTTTTTCTTTCATGAACTATCTTTTTCCATCTCTTTACTTTCAGCCTGTGTATCCTCTGATCTGAAGTGAGTTTCTAGCAGGCAGCATATATAAGACAAGGGTCTTGTCTCCTTATCCATTCAGCTCACCTGTCTTTTCTTTTAATTGGAGTATTTAACCATTTACATTTAAATATTTGTTGATAAAGATTTAGTTATTGCCTTTTTATTCATAATTTTTATCCTTTTTTTTTTCTTAAAGATGTCCCTTTAACATTTGTTATAATATTGGTTTGATGGTATCATTGAGTTTCTTGAGTATCATAGGAACAGCACTGACATTGAGCTCATGAATACATACAGAATGAATGTGTGCAAGATCAGCTATGAAACTGGCAAATGATAGCTATGTTTTGGAGGACTTTGTTCAGTGTTGAAGTCATGTTGTCAGGTGGCCTGTGCATGTTTATTGGCTTCCATTGAACTCCCTTGCAGATGTTTATATTTGATCCTTGGTGCTTTTGTGGGTGACTTGGCTTGGAGAATTGAATAAATTTAGTTTATATTTTGTTATTTAGTTCAGCTAAGGTTATTCAACCCATCATTGATTATGTCAAGTCTGAAAAGAAAAAATGTTGACAGTATTTGAATGAATGTTTAGCAGG